CGGATTTCGTAGTTTTGAACTTCGGTCAAGTGACGAGACTGGCCCAACACCTTCCTTAACTTCCGTATCACGCTTACGGGAGGATTTTGAGCCTCGACACATTTTAAGTACATCAGCCTCACTATACACTGTGCTTGAAGTAACACCAGGATTTAAAACCGGTACTCGACAAATTCAGGCCACCAATTCGTAATCATGACCACTAGGCTACCGTTACTACAAACGTATATTGATAAGATTTAACATGGGGCATGCTCATGTGTGTGACTCGTTTAATCTAAATATGACTGGCAGTCAGAAAGCACACATTTTTATCTACCGAATTTTTAAGTCATGTAATTATAAAAGTTACACTATTTGCCTTAAAACCGGGGTGGGCATTACGTCGATCGCGATCGACCGGTAGACCGCTAAGACATTTTGGGGTGACCGTCTGAAGATTAGCTGTCAATAATTGTATACCGAAATGTTGAAGATTGGCTGACAGTACGCAGACAAAGTCTTCTACTGATTGTAACCACAAAAACTAACTTTAGATAAAAACGTTTTATAGCAAATGTACTTTGAATTGTTTAATAATAGAAATGCAACATTTGATATTATTTTTGTGTCTATTATTATTATGTTTGTATCTTGTGTTTTGTTTTAAACGTGGTTTTAAAGTGTTTTATTTTATTTTAGTTCTGTAGGTAAGTACACATACTCCGAATTTATTATTTAATTATAATAAATATTTTAAACCCTTTCCTTACCTATGACACTGGGCAGTGGCGTACAAAAGAATCTTTCAGGAGGATGGGAGGGGGGGGTGTCGGAAGTCTACCATTCTCGTATCATACCCCAATACGGTGCTAAACATTTTTTTTTTTCATTTCAGATTATCGAGAAAAATACGATAAAAAATAAAGTACTGAATGAATAAATAATTAGCATTAATTAATAAAACAATTATTAATAACAAATACTGAATTAAATTATACGCAAAATAAACAGGGGATTATAATCAGTCGGGATAAAAAATCATGGGCTTTTGGGGGAGGGTCTGGATCCGTGGACTCCCCCCCCCTCTTGTGTTCGCCATTGACACTGAGTGGACCGCAACACATCGAAAAATTAAAAGTAGCCCGTTCCCTAGAAAAGTCTGCCCACCCCTGCCTTAAAACATCTAGATTCCTTGAAGAATTTCACTTTGGGAATTTGGAAATAATTCGGGTTCAGTCGTGGACAAAATGCTTAGAAAAGACACCCCACAAGGACATTATTTTTGGGAATTCTTTCCCAGCTTGCATCTCCAAAGTGATAAGAACCGGTAAATCAGAAAATTTCTATCGTATATAACGCGCTATCAAATGGAATAGAAAATTAAATTATAATCCGTACTTTTGTTGTGTTGTTGTTGCTGCTTATGCCACCTGATTGACAGTAACATCAGATCAAGGTCCACGAACTATCCAACTCCAAGATTCCGAACTCTCCAACTCTACAAGTCATAGTTCGAACTTTTGCCTCTTTCTAAACGATTCGATCTAAGGTAAGGTCATCCATATGTTCTGTACAGGATTACCTGTTATATATTACCATACTCAGGCAACAATTCGACGTTGTTTAAGCTAAAGCACTTTGCGCAATGCTTTTCATATAAATGCTGAGCATATACTGAAGGGAGCTTTATATCATTTTAACAATCCGCATGTATAGGGATTGCTTCATGCCCATTCGTACCGATTTTTAGTGGATTCCTTAGTTGGACATTCGTTCTTTTAATATTTCTCATTTCTCAGTTTTATCTTTAATTTTTGCATACTAGTGAATAAATATACTTAACGTAGAGAGAGATGAGAGAGAGAGAGACACAGAAAGAGAAATAGAAAGAGAATGAAAGAGAAACAGAGAGAGAATAAGAGAGAAACACAGAAACAGAAAGAGAGGAAACAGAAAGAGAGGAAACAGAATGAAAGAGAAACAGAAAGAGAATGAAAGAGAAACAGAAAGAGAATGAAAGAGAAACAGAGAATAAGAGAGACACAGAAAGAGAATGAGAGGAAACAGAAAGAGAATGAAAGAGAGAGAGAAAGATAAACGGAAGGAGAAAGATACAGAGAGAAAGATAAACAGAGAAAAATATAAACAGAGAGAAAGATAAACAGAGAGAGAAAGGTAAACAGAGAGAGAAAGATAAACAGAGAAAAAGATAAACAGAGAGAGAAAGATAAACAGAGAGAGAGAAAGATAAACAGAGAGAGAGAAAGATAAACAGAGAGAGAGAGAGAAAGATAAACAGAGAGAGAAAGAGAAATAGAGAAAGATAAACAGAGAATGATAGAGAAAGATAAACAGAGAGAGAATGATAGAGAAAGAGAGTGAAAAAAAGCGAGGGAAGCAAGAGATGAGAGATAATCTCTATTACTTTGGTAACCGTTTTCAGAGACTTTAATTAACATTACACTATATAACTTTCAGAAAATGTGTGAGGGAAGAGTTATCTCTTCCCTCAGTGTGGGGAGATCGAAAAGAAGATTAGCCATAGTCAGTATAACTTCAATTTATTTTTCAATACGAAATAAAAGACAAATTTTATTCATCAAAGTTAAGAGATGCACCCAAAAACTAAATATGAATAACAATAGAGAGGCAGACGAGATACGAGAAGACTTTAAATAAACAGATCACTTACGTCTAGGCAATACCTTCTAATTCTTAGCGACCTAATCTAATTTGATTCCTAATGGACAAATCGTCAACTTTAATATTACAATAATCAGCTCACGTTTAATAAATCACTGCTCGCACTAGCAGTCTAACCTCTCTCTCTAATCTCTTAACTCGAAAGTTTAATCTTTATATACAAGATTTATTTACATATTCACATCATCTTCAAAGGAAGGTTTTCAATAAATATAAATTTTAAACACCCATTTCCCCCCCAAGAGGATTGTTAATTGGAAAAATCTGAATATACCCTTGAAAAATGGAGAAAGACTGTAATAAAACTGTTAGCCACGATGTATAAGTTTAATAACTTTTTTCGCGCAATATTTGACGTTTTGTGCATATTTCCGCAAAGTTAACATTTAATAATTAAAGAAAATGAAAGAAAGGATAATTAGCTGATAAAATAATAAGAGTGCATAAATATTTTCTTAACAATTCCAAGCTTTAAGTGTTTAAAACCTCCCTCTCAAAAACTAGACAGAGAGATCCCCTCCTTCGATAATCTTTACCACTGATTACAGAAGGTCGTTCGCACTTTATGGAAACTATTTTGCTAGTTAATTTTTATTCATGAATGCCATATTTTCTTTGGCGATTTGCTTCTATCTGATAGCTTTAGCTCGAATTTTCCATGAAAGTCGACTTTTTCTTAGTACTGCCGTACCAATTTTACCCCATTCCTCTTAAGCTGTGTTTCAAAGTCCGTTCGGTGTTCTTGGATGCCGGTTTCCTAGGGCTAGCATTAATAAACCGAACGCACAAAAATTCATTGGAGAAGGGCCAGGTTATTTTAAAAATATTTCATCAAATGGGATACACTTTATTCCTGTTTCTGATTCTTTCATTGCTAAGTAAGTGGCAATACATTTAGACGTGTGAATAGAGGCTTTGATGAAGTTGAGCTTCAGATGGACAATGTCCTTTCTATATAAGGCTGGAATTTCTTCCGCAAAAACTGGTTCTAAAATATTCTGCTCATGGTAGAGTAAATTAATTTTGATTTTACTGTTTTTATTTTTAATTTACTGTTCTAACAAAATACGGTAACTGTCATGAATCGCTTAGGGAACTTTTCTGCACACTAACAAAGTCATTTCATAAGGTCATTCCCATCAGTTGAGCGACTGAAAATCAATCTTCTTTTATTAAAATCACTTAAAATATACCTATGCCTCATCGAGTGTAGCCACAAATTTCTACTTTTCAGCAGCTAGGTGTTATTTGTATAATTTTCTACAATTTCTTTTTCTTTCAGCAGTATGTTTAGGCAAAAACAGATGAACTTTATGTTTAAACCCTATTTTTAACTATAAATCCTTATGAATTCTTTTACTTACAGTACCGGAAGATATTCTTAGTTTTGATGCAATGAATCTTTGAGTAGGCGGATTTTCTTTTAAGATCAGAGACTTCACTCTTTTGATAGTTGCAAGCATTCGAACAGACGAAATTTCGTGGTCTTTTTTCCTTTCAGCTAGAATTTTTCTTCTTTTAAATTTATATTATTATAAATTCCTTTTTTTAAATGCAATAACCTATATTTTTACATTGCTTTATAATTTCTTGACATATTTCTCAGCGGAAAGCGCAGTTACGTAACCTTCAAGCCATCTATCAATTTTAGGAGCCATTTTCAAAATAAATATTTTGTTTTACAATCAATCAAAAGAAAACATTAGCAGACGATTGTTATAAAGTTCCAAAGTTTTATTTAAAAATGCAAACGAGTAAGTAAATTACAAAATCGTTTCCATAAAAAGTGCGGACGACCTACTGTATAATAAATGTCCTCTTTATAAAGACACCTAAAGAGGGATTTTAAGCTAATTTATATCGAAAAAAAAAACAACTATTTTTAATAAACTAAAAATTATGTATGCATTGATAATATAAATATACATATATAATGAACGCCAGTTGAATAGAAACCAACATCTATTGTACTAAATATGCTTATTCTTTTATTTAACGAACATTTTTTTAAATTACAAAAAATGAAAATGCATGCCTTTATTAACTTCTGGTGCCTTATTCAGTCCCTACTACATTAGTTCCCTCTCTCACTATATGTATTTATACTTCTTGTTCAAATTTTCAGTCATTAATAAAATACTTTCTATTCATCCACATTCAAGTTCAAATAAATTTTTTAAACTTGTAGTGCATGACACTTGATGTTAATATAGTTTTTTCAAACATTAATTCATTATTTAAAATAAAAAATGAATAAATAGTAACCAAAAATAATAGTCCAACAGCACATTTAAACAGGAAAAATCGTTCGTTGTGTCCCTGCAACGCAATAGATAGCGCGTTGGACTTCCAATCCAAAGGTTCGAATCCCACCTGGGATAGCCTAATTTTTGAGAATGATTTCTTTTTTTGTTACAGTATTTTATCAGAATAATTAAATTTACTTAATGAATAAATAGTAACAAACAAAAATAATAGTCCAACACCCTATATAGAAAAGAAAATGGAAAATTGCAAGGAAAATCGCTTTCTATGTTGTCACTTAATATTGTGATCCTGTCATATGTTTTTACATATTTATATTAATTGTAACTATTTAATAAAATTTATCTAAAATAAAGCTTTTCTATGTTGACCTAAGCAGGAATTGACTTAATTTTTTTATATTGGTTTATTTTTTATTTTGAAATGCCATTTTGTAGACACCTAACGGCAGTGTTAAACATAGGCGTCTTGAATTTAACATTGCGAATTTTATCTAGCAAATGAACATTATTCGGATTTCCAGTAAATCCAGATTTCGCCCATTAACGTCAGTTTGAACAATTCCCTCTGTTGAATTCATTAACAGTTATTTACGAATATAAAGCGAGAATACTCGGCTTAAATCCACAAGTGTCGTGTCACCTCGAGAATCGTCATTACAAACAAGGCCAGAATAATACTGGCGAAAGCAGGCCTCATCATCATCGCTTCGAAGTTTCTAATCCTCTGGTAAATGCCGGCAACGCGTAGTTTACTTTAACTGGAGCGGATTATATTATTCAGTCGTTTAAAAGGACTCGGATGAGGACGTCATTAGACGAATCCGAGTCCTCACTCATTCAGATTAGTTGGAAACAAGAGCGTTTGTCAACGGGAGCTCTTTTAGGAGGTAACAGCTGGAGAAAATGTTGACAGATGAGCAGTTCGTGTCGACCTGTTTTATTGATTACAAATATAGGGAAAGATGGATTATTTTATGGGGACTACAGTTAACTAAGTAACTAGCAATCATTGTTGGTTATAGAGTTGTATTACACAATGGACTAAATTCATGACGGTCACATGATAAAAATAAACACGTGTTCTACATTGAATTCAAAACGGACAATAAACTATATATATAGCTCGTACTTTTTATTCTATTTGTAAAACTTAGGTAAAATTTCAAATTGCATAGTTGGGTAAAAATGCTCAAGAGTTATAAAAAGAAATTTCTGCAAAAAGATTTTACAATTAAAGGGGAAAAAAAGTCTTGTTTTATACATGCATTTTTAAATAAAGTGACAAATATTAATTTTTTAAAAAAAAGTTTCTGCAAAAAGCGTAATTTGGCAACAACGAAGTGCATGAACTGATTTGCTGAAAACAGATAATTGCATTTATCGTGACTATGACGTCGCATGTGTTTTTGAACTTGATTGGCTAAAAACACGTGGTTTCAAATTATCATGTGATTATGACGTCACATGAATTTAGTCCATTGTCAGAGTTAACTATCGCGTACAGGAGAACATTCAAAGATTTATTTTACCACTTAAACACACGGTAGCTTACAGGAGAGCAGTCCTTCCAAAACGAAAATTATATAACTCATGTATAGTTTATTTATTCTTATCACATATTGTAGTACACATTAAATAACTTTATTCGAATTATGGTATTTATCATTACTTTAAATTTGTCCCCATTTTTCAAGTTCTTATTGTTGCCTTGTTTTTATTAACCCACTTCAACGCGACACGAAAACTATTGGCGATTGGCCACGTAATTTAGAACATTAATCAAGTATCAAGAACGACACCTGAACTAGGACTCCAAACTTCAAAACCACGGAGTCAATAAATTTAAAATGCATCAGCCCTTCTACACGGAGGGTCTTCAAGGCGAGTGAGAGTTGTATTAACGTCGCACTAAAAAGGCAATACGAGGGTTAATGGCGAATGACCTCGTAATTTTGACCAACAATCCAGTGATCAGAGCAACACCTTAGATGGCACCCCTCTCTCCAAAACTACCCCACCTCAGCAACTGGGGGATTTTGAGCTACGGCAGATTAAAGGATCACGACGGGTTACAGTGGGACACACACTTTAAGCATGAAATCATATAATTAATGTTAATTGTGGACAAATGTTTTCTAGATATCTCTTTTTCTTTTTGCAGCATTGTACACACTGAATGTTGTTTTTCGATATTCATGTATAAGAAAACCTTGGGCATTAATGATTATTTACAATGCAAATACCTTTTTGCAGATCTCTCTCTCTCTCACACACACACACACTCACTCACGGTAATGAACTCTTGGCTAGCGTGTCATGAGTTCAAGCCTTGAGCAACTGAAGACTAGCAGTGCACGTTAAATATGTCGAGGCTCAGAGTCCTCCAGTTGGCGTGGTGAGGTCGTTTGGAGACAGGGTGCCAACTCAGATATCGGTCTCGTCACTAGAGAGATTCAAGATTTCGAGATCCGTAGCCAATGATTTTCGTTTTGCCTTTTAAGTGCGACGGAATCTCTCTCTCACGTGTGTATATATATATATGTTATGGCGAAAGTCTGAAGTTTGGTCAATTCATGTTTTGGTCAAGAGGTTTAGCAAAAGTCCGAAGTACTTGCAATTAATATTATATATTCTACTTTGGCCATTTCACGAAGTGGCTGGGTGAGGGAGTGAATGTTAACGTCACACTGTTCAGTTACACGAGGGCTTTTAGCGACGGACCTCGTAATTTTGAACCATGGTCAAGTGACAAGGACGACACTGAGCTGGCACACCTCCTCTCCTAACTACCACACCACACCAACGGGATTAGCGTGCATTTCTCCCCTACACAGCGGGTCTTCAGTAGTATTGGACTCGAATTCATGACACGCCACAGCCACGAGTCCGTTACCTTGACCACTGGGCTACCGTGGTCACACGAAGTGGCTGGGAATCCTTGACCAAAGCCCAATGTGATAATGGGAGATTGACCGATAGGTGGTGCATTTGTCGCTTCCGGTGTGACGGCGTGCGCGTGGTAGAAAGGACGGTGCCACGTTCCTGAGAAGGTCCTGCAAAAAATTATTCGACACTTGCCGTTAGTTCTCCGATTCAGCTATTTCATTATGAGTACAGCCAGAGCTGGGTGGCGTAGTTAATTTTTCGGTGGCCTTCTGCACTGAAGGTTGCAGGTTCGACCCCCCCCCCCGGACCAAGTCTATGGATTTTTGTGATGAAGAAAATCGACAGCGTCCATGCCGTATGATTATGTGGCATGTAAAAAATCCCTTGAGAGTCCGTTTGACTTGGATGCTTTCGGCAAAATTAAATTCCCAAGTACCTTTCCCATCGGCAGAGCTCAGGTACTTCCCTCTAGGGAGGAAACTGGGAGTCAAAATTACTTGCGGCAATTGGTGCCGCACTAAAAAGTGATACTAGATCCTGGGGAATGTACTAGGTTTGCAAAGGTAGAAATACCAATCTGCAGTCCCATTAGAGAAAAAAGTGAGTACGTACTCGTACTCCTTGTATTTTTTTCTTCTATATATGAATACTTTCAGTTAAAATTATGTAATAGCTAACAGGGACCAGAGTGTGTAAAAGAATCTGCTCTCGATTTTTTTCCTTTCTACTTTGGCCGATCGTCTCAAACCACTTCACAAATTAGCCGGACAAAGTCCGAAATCAAGAAAAGATCGAACATTGGCCGGTAAGTTTACAGCAACGTTTACCAAAATGCGAACTGGTTGATTTCGGGCTTTGGACGTAACAAATAGACCAATATATAAAATGAGAAAATAACCAGATAAAATCCCTTATCCAATCTCATAAAATATTTCTTTCAACCTCTTGAAATGATACAACACAAAAGGTATAAAATTTATTTAAAATAATAGATATCTGTCCCATTCATCATATCATATTCCGGATATCCCTAAATAACTTGAAATTGTACAATAGATCCTAGTTTAACTTGAAAATTTAAAAAATATAATGGTGATAGGATGAAAAAAATATAATTGATGATTGATACCTCCCAATCTTACAAGAATTTATTCGACCCAAAGTAGGCGATATTACAAGAAAGATTTATCTAAATTCTGAATATGACTATGGTGTCATAACCTATATTGCATCATAAATCAAACATCACTATAGAGGCACATTATGTATTTTCTAGGCGTAAAGAATAGTGTTTTTCTTTCGGAATATGAGCTTTCACAACCAGTTTTTTCCTCTCAGACGCTATTTTTAAACAATAAATTAAGGGGTCCATTTTGGCAACAGCAGAGGCAGGCCTCTTTACATGATGGAACTCCTGGTGCCACTGATAGGGAGACACAGATATAAATAAACTTTCGGCGGCGCTTTTTCGTAAATAAACGGTCGAGTGGGACATAAATATTGCTTTAACACATAGTGTGATTAAAGATACGACGGAATATTTATATGCGCAGCAAAAATATAGCAGCATTCATTGTTCATATTTATGACTGTTACGCTATTATATTTTATTTATATTTTGAATTGTATTATATTGATGATTCAAAATTGATCCGTTACTTTTTATATTTTTTAAAATTTATATCAAAATTTTATATTATAAAAGTATAGCAGCGTTTTACAATCTGTAAGGTATTCGTTGGTATATTTCAGTGGTCTTCAAACTGTGTTCCACGCAACCTTGGGGTTCCACGAGTCACAATGAAACGCCAAAAAGAAAATTATAAATATGTATGTAAAATGGATTCCCTTTCCCTATGAAGATCATATAACCACAAGTACCTAAAAGCCAATCTCAGTCATTAAAACTGAAAATTTTATTTATACATAACATATCTTTATTTTGTAATACTTTTTAAACTTTTATTTTAATTTAATAAAAGAATATTAAAAAGTTTTTCCTTTCTTTGTACTATCTATTAGATTGTGAATATTCTATTGTTTGCTATCCCGGGTTCCACGAAATAATTTTTTTATAGTCGTTAGTTTTCGGATGGAAAATGCACCATTTTACATTTGTAGGAAAAAAAATCCCTACAATGATATTTTTAAAAATACTTTTATTTAAATTACCCGTAACAAGCTGATGTACTTTAAATATTACTATAAAATCCAGCGTATAACGCGCG